TGCTCCATTGTCCTGTGGCTAGTTTTGTTATTCTAGTAAAATAACAGTAAGCCATTGATCACTACGCTTCGTTTAATGAGAAGTAACGTTTATTTATAGGGAAACGATTTGCCAGCCAGAAATGTTGGATTTTATTATCTTTTCAGTAGTAATATGTAAAAAGGTTTAAGCCAATGCAGAATATTTTCTTATTGATAATTTATGGCGTCATCTCTGATCACTAGGGGCGCTTGTTTAAAAATGTCGCTTTCTTAGTCTTACCTTCAGAGATTCCTATTCTGTTTACCTGGGGCGTGGCTCACGAATCACCCCATAGGGATGATTCTGATATTATTGATTCCGGCCCACTCTTTGACAGCACTAAGAACTGGACATATAAAAATTCTTTTAAAGCACTTGCAATTAAAAAAAAATAGTAATCTTAGGGGATCAGAGCAAAACTAATGTTGGCAAGTGCTGTGGTAGTTGTTGTCTTTGTTCCTCTCCATCTTTATTAGCACTGTACATTCAGTCATTTTGAGGTGCTTGTTAAAATGTCAGTTTCTAAGCCTCAACTCAATTCTACAGAACTGGTTTCTCTGGGGATGGCGTCCCAAATAATTTTGGGTGCACACAAATTGAGAATCCTTATTCTATAGCCTACCTTGCATGAATGATTTCTAGATCAGTCACAACACCATGTTGGGCAGTGGGAAGGAGTGAGTAACCTTCAGAGAAAAGTCTACTCTTTTGCCTTCTCTTTTTTTGTTAATGGCAACACTGTCTTCTAGTGACCTCTACCTGTCATGTAGCCATCTTTCTATCTTTTCATCTCTAATCAGTCACACGAAATCTTTTATTTCTACATCCAGAATATGTCTTCTGGATATTTTGATAGATCAAACATTAGAGACTTCATTTATCTTTTAAGTCCATTAACTGTATGCACCCCCCCTCCCCCATATTTTTCAACTTAGTGTTACTCATTTCTTCTCTATTCCCACCACCTGGTTCCCTTTCCAGTGATCTCCATGGTTCTGATTTCTTTGAGTTTTTAAAGCCTGGGTCACATAAACTAATGTCAGCTGAATGTTTCTAGGAAAAGTGTATGAATGTGTTCTCTATCTGCCTTTGCTCAAGAACTACTGATTTCTCTTCATTATCTACAATGTTACCATTCAGGGCTGTTTAGAATAGACAAACAACAGAAACTTGCTTTTTTACCTATGGTAAAAAAAATATATTCATAGAACTGAATAAGAACAAGCAGCAAGTCAAAATCCAAGGCAACTTCACTTTTTTCATCTGTTTATCCTCTTACTTTTGAGGAGGCTTTTTTCTCTGTTTATATCTTGAGATCCTCTCCATACTCACAGGCGTTCTCAAAATAAATCGTTTCGTGCATGGTCTGTAATGACATATAATGTTATGGCTCAGTCTGTGGTTTTTAATTCCTAGTTCTAGAGAGAGAACTCTGATTGATCTAGTGGTGTGGCACCGTTAGGTATGTTCAAATCCATCTGCCGCTTCTCTGAACCCCTATACAGGGTTGTTATGATTCAGAACTGACTCAACAGCACTTAATAATGACAGACAGCAACATGCCCATCCCTGGCTTTGGCTGATGTTTGAGAACATGGTTGTTTTGGGTATTAGGAGTTGTGAGCAACTTACTAAAGCACACCTATGGTGGCTGGTGGCTATGTGCCATGGAGTCGGTTCCGACTCATAGCGACCTTGTACAGGGTTTCCAAGGCTGTTAATCTTTACAGGAGCAGAACGCCTCATCTTTCTCCTGTGGAACAGCTAGTAGTTGCCAACTGCTGAACTTGCGGTTCACAGCCCTATTTGTAACCACTACTCTACCAGAGCTCCTTAAGCACACCTATTGCAGATATTCAATTTGACAGTTATCTGTGCGTTATATGTCTATTTGTTCTAGACCTGTAGTAGATTTTGAGAATACAAGCTGTTATCGTTGAAGAAATTACAGGTTTATCCATCCTAACTTTCCAGCCTTAGCTCTCACTTCTTGCTTAAATATTCCACCCATACTGTTCCTTGTTTCTGCGCATGCTCTGTACAGTCACTCGGTAGACACTTTATTCTTCATCTGTTTTCATGCCTTTCCATTTGCTGGTATGCACTTTGCTCATTTCTTACTTATTATTGGACTTAGACCAAGCCTTATACCCATTCTTCAAAGAGTAACACAAAATGAAACTTATATGCTATCCCAGTTGTTGTTGTTGCTATGTGCCGTGGAGTCAGTTCCGACTCATAGCGACCCTGTACAGGGTTTCCGAGGCTATAAATCTTTACGGGAGCAGAAAGCCTCATCTTTCTCCCGTGGAACAGCTGGTACTTTGAACTGCTGACCTTGAGAGAACAGCCCGATTCGTAACCACTACACTACCAGGGTGTAATTCTCTAGTGCTGCTATAACAATCATACCACAAATGGATGGCTGTAACAAACAGATATCTATTGTCTCACACTTTAGTAGGCTAGAAGTTCAAATTTATGTGCCAGTTCTAGGGGAAAGCTATCTTTGTTGACACGGGGGAAGGCCTTACCTTGGTTTGTGGGTGTGTATCTTACTCTCTAACTCATAGTGACCCTATGGACAGAGTAGAACTGTTCCATAGAGTTTCCAAAACTGTTGCTGTTAAATGCCATTGTAGTGACCCAAGGAGCAGCTGGTGTCCCTTCAAAGGCTGTACACTACTCACTGTTCAGTTAGCAGCCCAGCACTTAACTTGCTGTGCTACCAGATACCAGAGCTCCTCTCCCATTTGTGCTTCCCAAATACAAAGGTAATTGGCTCAAAACATACCCACTGATACCATCTCATTTGCATAACCTAGAAAGTCCAGTTCCCAAATGGGATTAAATCCACAGATAGATGTCATCCTACAGAGTCCCACTCATAGTGACCTTATGTGACAGAGGTAGACTGCCCCATAGGGTTTTTTAGGTTGTGATTTTTACTGGAACAGATTGCCAGGTTCTGAATATTTGCGTTCATTTTAACCATTTTGTGGAGTCTTTGAGCTCTGGTATGGCATGGTAGGATTAGCCTTGGACAACAGGTTGGCAGTTTAAACTCACCAGCTGCTCTTTGGAAACCCTATGCAGGGTTGCTATGAATCAGAATCGACTTAACAACAAGTTTCTGTCTGATACTGCATTTCTTCTGTGTAAAGAACTTTAAACTTTTCTTGCAGTCCAATTGTGTTACTAATGAATTATCTCAGATTTTGTCTGACAAAGTCTTTACTTCTCATTTTGAAAGATAATTTTTCTGGGTTTAGAACTCTAGGTCGATAAATTTTTCTTGCAGCACTTTAAAAACTCCACTCATTTTTCTTTTGACTTGTATGGTTTTTGCTGAGAAGTCTGCTGTAGTCTTTATTTCTTTACAGATTGTCTTTTTTCTCTGGCCACCTTCAAGATTTTCGATTTAACTTTGGTTCTCAGTAGTTTCAATATGTATCTAAAGTTGTGTTTTTGTTTTATTTTGTGTGTTGTTTTATATTCTACTTTGAGTTTATGAGCTCCTTGTACCTGTGGTTTGACATCTTTCATTATTTTTGTGTAATTGTTAATCAGATGTTTAAAATATTCAAATATTTTTTCTATCTGTGCTCTCTCTTTCTTCTCAGCATGTGAATATCCCACAACCTTTAGAGCCATTGTTTTATTTTTTCCACTCTCTATTCTTTCATTTTAGTTTGGGTAGTTTTATCGACCCACCTTCAAGTTCTCATCTAGACCAACTGAAAAACATTTGATATCATATTAGGGTTTTGAGCAAAGGAAGGAGGCGCTCTGACCAGTACTATTCCAGTTGTGGATGTTTTTCTTTGCAGCTTCAGCATCTAGGAACTTGTGAAAGATATAAATTTAGAGGCCACAATTCAGACCTACTGAATCAGCATCTCCCAGTGTAGGGACCAGGAATCTGTTTTACAAATGTTCCATGTGATTTTCATTTATGTTTAAATTTAAGCAACTCTGATCCAACTTTTCAAACAGACACTGTGGTTGTATTGTGGAGAATAAACTGTATGGAAGGCAAAGGTGGAAACAGGGAAACCAGTTAGGCAGCTGTCACGGGAATCGAGGTGTGATCACACCTGGTTTACAGCAGGGTGGTTGTGATGGACGGGGTGGATAGTACTCAGATTTGGAATATATCTCATAGGTAGACCCCAAACTGTCTGCTGATAGATTGATTGCAGAGTTTAAGAGAAAGAGACAAGTCATGAATAATTCTAAAGTTTTTGATCTGGAAAGAATGGAGCTGGAGTTGCCATTTCCTGAGGTGGAGAAGGCAGCAGGAGAAACAGTGGGCCACTCTCTTTTATTTGGTGGGAGTGGACATGAAGAGGGCTTGGGGATGGACTAGAGTTCGGATTTGGGAGAGTTAGGATTAAGATGACCGAATCTTAAGAAGAGAGGGGTGGGCAGTTTAACAGCTGAGCTATGGGTCTTGTTTTCACCCTTGCTACAGGAGGAGTCCTAGTGTGACGCTGTAGGATAAACACTTGACTACTAACCACAAGGTTCAAACCCACCAGTGACTCCTTGGAAACCCTATACAAGGTCACTCTGAGTCAGAACTGACTTGATGGCACATAACAAAAACAATAGTGGTGGTGTAAGGAGCCCTGGTAGCTTAGTGAGCTATGCATTGCGTTGCTAACTGTAAAGTCAACAGTTCATCAAAGTTGCCAGCCGCTCTGCAGAGAAAGATGAGGCTTTCTGTTCCCATAAAGATTTACAGCCTAGGAAACTCTGCATGGACTGAACGATACAACGTAGCAGCAGCAGCAGTGGAGGTACACTTATACTAGTTTAAAGTGCAGAATGATAAAATACTTGGTAGTAACTTTTTTTTTTTTAAATCCTAATCCTAATTTAATGATTTGTGACTAGAAACGTAGTAGTGTTTTAGTTTTTTTTCCTAATCACGAATTATATGTATTTATTTAATCTTAACAGAGACTGAAATAAAGCTTTCTGTGAAAATGTCGGTTCTAATATCACAGAGTGTAATAAATTATGTGGAAGAAGAAAACATTCCTGCTCTGAAAGCTCTTCTTGAAAAATGCAAAGATGTTGATGAGACAAATGAGGTAAGACCAAGTTCTAAAAGTAACTTCCTTTCACAAATAATTGTTGACTACCTACTATGTGCTGATGATAAAGGTAAGAGATACATAGTTCTCATGCTCAGTATCATTGGACATTACTTATACATTTCACAATATAATCTTCTCATAATTAAAAATGTTTCAATTCCAGTACATTTTTAGTACATTTTAACTTTATGTAAATGCTTGGATAGTGAATTAAAATTTATAGTGGACTTTGTTTTACTCATGAAATAAGCAGTATTCAAGAAGTCTGATTAAACAGTTGACAGAGCGGAGTGAAGGTTGTAATCATTGATGCTCATAGTTATGACTCAGAATCATAAACATAATGTTTAAGGTAATTTGTTTAAGAAAGTAGCAATGTGTGCATTGCTTTTTAAAGTGATGGTTGTCATGGAAGTTATAATCAAATTTAATGCTTAGAGGATACACTTTTTCACCTGTTTACGTGTAATACTCTATGTTAAATTCCTCAGTCCCTAATGACCCTGATTAAATGACTTGTGACTATATAATTTAGTATCTATTGTTATATACACACACCTATAGTTAATGTAATTTGCCTTGATACTTTATTTAAACCAGTATTTGTATCCAACATTTTTCTTGTATTACTCTTATAATAGCATCTATCATACTTTGCCAATTATAATTTGCCTGTTTGTGTATCAGATATTTTAATTCTCTGAGACTTTGCTCACCACTGACTCAACAAGTATTGAGTTACTGTGTGGCCAACCACTGTCCCTCATACTAGAGATGCAGTATTAAACAAATCAACAAAGCAGATATACTTTCTACCCTCTTGGAGTTTAGAGCCTTTAGGGCAAATAGACAACAGTCAGTTAATTACACAAGTGAAAATGTAAATATAAACCATGATTGGTGTAGTAAAGGAAGCTTACTGGGAATCAGAAAGGGAGAGTGATTGATGCAAAAGCTGAAGGATGAGTGGTGGTTAAGAGAGGAGAAGCATTTGTCTGAGGCTCCTTAGGTGGGAAAGAGCATTCATGTACATTAATGGAGAGACAGTGACACCGAACAGAGCTAAGATGTAGACACCACTAAGGGTTTTTGTAGACCATGGCAAAGGTTTTGGTTTTGAACTGTTTAAACAGAGGAATAATATGGTCAAATTAGCATTTTTTAAAAGTCATGGATATTTCCCCTCACACTGAGATAACACACAAATGGGTGTTTAAATAAATACTGGTCTAGCTGCATTTCATTTTTGGTGTAAAATTTTTCTCCTATACTTAAGTATGTTGTTGCGCCTTTAGTCTCATCATGGTTTAACCCAGCGATTTCTGCTGTCCCACACACAGAAAATGAGAGTGTTGGTACTGCCCTCTGAGAGACACGCTAAACCTTGCAGCTTAAGGTGACCTGCCTCACTGCCTTCAGGGCTGAGGGAGCACTCTCTTTCATCCCTGCCACTCATTGTACACAGGCTGGGAAACTTCCCCTTGTAAGCTTTAAGATTACAAGGGACAGTTTAAAGATTTAGAAGGGGGCTTCAGAAAGGTCATGGAGAAATGGAATTGAAAGATAATGGAATTTTCCCACAAACTCTTTGAAGCCCTGTATGTGTAATATGTGTAGAACCTGTGTTGTTACTGTTGTTTTACTTTTCGTTCTCTAGTTCTGCCTTATAAACCCATTGCCAGTGAGTTGATTCTGACTCGTAGTGACCCTGTATATAGGGTTTCTGAAGCTATAAATCTTGATGAGAGCAGACAGTTTTATCTTTCTCCCATGGAGCTGCCTGGTTGGTTTGGATTGCTAACCTTGTAATTAGAAAGAAGTCCAATGTTTATCGTACAGCACCACCATAAAATCTTATTTATGTAACTAAATATTCTGTGCTATATTCTAAGCTGTATTGGTAATGAATTTGATAACTGTAGGTATCCTGAGAGTTTCAAATGTATTGCCATGAGTACTTCCCAGATCCTAGTGTTACGTATGCTTACTTATTTTGGGAATGAAAATTACAGTGCCACAGATCACTAATATCGTGGTAAGAAAAATTGTATGCCATTTTTCTCTTTGACTTAAACGAGTATGATAACTTAAGCTTTCAAAACTGTTTCTAAGTCGATGATTTAAGTAAATTCTAAATTAAAGTAAACAACTAGTGTATAACATTCCTTCATGAAAATGTGGATGTGGTATAGTTAACTATGGTGCTTCCGGAGAAGTTAAAGCATCTTGACAAGTTACCCATGCCTCTTGTATTCTGTAGTGTGGCCAGACTCCATTGATGATAGCTGCTGAACAAGGCAATGTGGAAATTGTGAAAGAATTAATTAAGAATGGAGCGAACTGCAATCTGGAGGATTTGGTATAAAATAATTTGTGTATTTGTCTTTCTTTTCCTTAACTTTGCTGTCTCTTTTTTTTTTAAATAAAAAGTGATTCATAAGTAAGAGATAAAAAATTATACTTGCACCTGTATCTCAACTTTGCCTAGTATGCTAAGTCAATGTTTTAAAAAGGTTAAGAATGTTTTGCTTTTATTGGAGGGTCTCAGCTCTTCATGTTTTGGCATTGGCTGAATAGGAAATACATATACATACAATTAAGTATCTGTCTAGAAAACACCCATGTGTCAGCCATATTTGTAAGTAACTCCTAAGGTAATTTGTTATAGATATCTGCCAAAATAATTTCTTTTAGAAGGATCAACACAAGATTGATCCCTATGAGGTGGAGGTTAAAGATAATCTCATATGTCCCACTTTTCCAAGATGCTATACAACTCTCTAGTCTCTGATACCAACCACCACGCCTCCCTTCAGTACCTTCCCTCATGTTCCGGGGTTCTGTAATTTGCTGCAACATCTCACAGAACTCACAAACTATCAGGCAAATGGCTCACACAATTGTGGAGGCTGGCAAAGTCTCAAATCTGTACTTCAGATTTCAGTCTGGAGGATTCTTTTTACCCATGTGGTTACAGGGGCTAAGGAAGGCAAACCGGCAGGTCAGACAATAGGCTGTTGATGCACAAGGCTGTAGATGCTGGTGAATCAGGGCAGGTGATCAACCACAATTTCCATGAACTGGAGATCAGATGGAGATGAGCCAGCTGCAGAATCCAAAGCAAGGGCAAACTTGGCCAAAGCATTTCTGTACATTGGATGCTGATCATGCTCCCCAGGAAACTAAGGGCGCTGACGTGTAAGAGCATCCATAGTGTCACCTTGCTGTTAAGTCTGTCGAGTTAGAGTCATAGCAATCCTGCATAGAGTGTCTGAGGAGCAGCTGGTGGGTATGAACCATTAACCTTGCTGTTAGCAGTCCAGTGCTTTTCATACCTGAATCCTGCTTTATTACCAACTCACTCCAAAACCACAGGCTTAGAGGCCAGAATTGACAGAATATCACAGAATGGAGGAGTGTAGCTGGAAGGGCCATATTTAGTTAAGTGCACTGCCACGTATGACGATGTCCAGAAAGATGTGGTCCCTTCTGCTATCTCTTTTGAGTGCTTCAATTACACTCCTAAGGACTATATTTCCTTAAATGTGGTACATCCCCTCTCACTTCTCAGGAAATTTTTTTTTTTTTGTAGTCACACAATTCAATCTGTTATTTTGAAAAACTGAATGATCATTTAAATTAAATTATACTCATGAATAAAAGGATAGGATATCTCTGTTCTTTATTTTTAAAAATATAGGAGAGCCCCTCTTTCCCTTATCACGTATTTTCTAAACTCATTGTGTGGGATCACTGTAGTTTAAACCTTGTGACTGTGCTCTGAAATCTAATTATAGGCTCTTTAATTTTGACTTACAGTAATGCTTGCTTGCCACAAGGATTAGTTTTAAGGTTTTGATAGCATCTTTTCTCCTTTTAGAAAAGCACAGAATGTGATTAGACAGCCCTTGAAAAGACTGAACAAGCAGTTGTGAAACCATTCTGTGCTATTAGTAGTAACACACATCCACAGATAAAGTCTTAGGAGAACTTGAACTTTAGTATTAGAGTAGTTTACTGTGGGTCCCATCATGTCAACTTGGTATGATCACTTGGTATGTAACTTCACATCTGCTGTGTTTTTTACTTTGAAATTCTAGTTTTACCTTTGACATGCTAATATTTTTGTACATATGGTCTAGGATAACTGGACAGCACTTATATCAGCATCAAAAGAAGGGCATGTGCATATTGTGGAAGAACTTCTTAAATGTGGAGTTAACTTGGAGCACCGAGATATGGTCTGTATATTCCTTATAATGTCTTATTATTTAGCTGAAATTGTACTAGCAGTAATAGATGTATGTGAAATTGTGTATTTTGATGTGTGTGGTGATAGACAATGATGTTAGGAATTGTGACTGCTTTGACGAGGTTCTCAACAGTGCCTTAAAACCCAGGGGATATAATGCATCTCTTTTTGGTCATCATTTTAAATATGCTCTTTTAAATATATATCAAATGTTTTCACTCTTTTGGAAGAAATTGATTCCGTTAGACAGTAGTTTATAAGGGACATAGTTTCATTTTAAAAACTAGCTGTTTAAAGTTATAATTTTCAGGGTCATATTTATAATTAATAAATTTTTAAATGGAATTTTGTTCAGACATGTTATCTATACACACTACAAGTTTAACAAGACATGAGTCTTAATTATCACTTAGCTCTTAAATGAACTTGGTATTTGTTTAAAGCCTACATAGATGGAACCCATATTTTCTGATGAGTTTACTTTGTAAAATGTTCAACCTTTATGAAAGTCCATTTTAACAATGGAAAAATTCTATCTTGATGTATAAAAAATATATTATTTATTGATGGCCTGTTTTATAAAGTACAAATTGACTGTTTTTAAAACTGCAGAATTCCACCATCGTGTGTTTTAATGGTGGTATGCTGTGGAGTCAATTCTATCTCAGTGATCCAGTATACGGCTTCCGAGGTTGTAAATATTTATGGGAGCAGAAAGCCTCATCTTTCTCCTGTGGAGTAGCTGGTAGGTTTGAACTGTTGACCTCGTGGTTAGTAGCCCAACTCGTAACCCACCATGCTACCAAAGCTCCTTTTTACTTTAATACTATAATGTACTTTACACAATAGTTTTACTCTCATAATGTTATAGACTCCTTATATAGCACTGTAGTATCAGCACTAGACTTTGAACCACAATGTCATTAGTTTAAACCCACCAGCTGCTCTTTTTAAACCGTATAGAAGTTTACTGAGTTGGTAACGACTGTACAGCACTTACAACAACAAGAACAACGTTATATTTATTCTCGAAACTTAAAAGAGTAGGGGCTTTACACATTTTTTTTTTTCTTAAATGTTTTATTGTGAATTATGTGATAGTTTACATGAGAGAATATTAGTTTTACATTCATTCTATCATATATTGTCTCATTGCCATGGTTACAATCCCCTCCATGCATCATCAACCAACCAAAGGGTATACCCTGCAATCCCTCCCCCTACCCCCCAGGTCTTCAGCACACAGTCGCTCTCCCTCTCTGGATCTAAAGTCTCCAGCTGTTCATCGCTCCACATCATCATCTCTGGCTCCATTTCAGGCATCACTGCTTCTCTGGATAGGGTCCCGCTCTCTGCTCTTCTCCCTTGATGGTCCCAGGGACCTCCACTCCTAGACTGAAAAGTTAATCACTCCCCTCCTTGCTATAAAACGTCTACCTTTACATTTCCGACCTTCACAATCAGTCCCGATAACAATTATTCACTATTGTATCACCAGAGACCCATCTGCATTTCATTGCATCAGCCCTACCTAGACAGATTGAATACTACTCACTGGAGATTCTACCTTCCTCCAGGCCTTCTGGATGTAGGTTCTCTCTTGAAAGCTTGTAAGCCAGTCACTTCTTGCCTTTGTAGCCTCCTGCCCCCCATTTTGGGTAGCCAATGTCCAAGTTGCCCATCCCTGTCTATTCTGGCTTTACACATTTTTATAAGATACAGACTGAATCTTTATTTCTTAAAAGAAAATGAAGTATATTACAATACATGTTTATATATACTACATAAAAATTAGCAATGATTTTAAGTAGATTGGAAAGAGAAGAGCATATAATGATGTTGGTAACTCATAACAAAGCTGGGAGTAAAATGTGACATTCTTACTTCATTGGTTGTTGTTGTTAAGTACTGTGGAGTCGGTTCTGACTCATAGTGACCCTGCACAGGGTTTCCGAGGCTGTGAATCTTTACGAGGGCAGAACGTCTCACCTTTCTCCCGCAGAGCCGCTGGTAGTTTCGAATTACCAACCTTGAGGGTTGGTAGATGAAGTAAAAAGGAAATGCAGGGAGTTACCTAGTTTTCAATATTTGGTGAATGGGACCTTGCCAGTTTATCAGATGAGTTAATAATATTAAGGAACTATACTATGCTTGGTCTCCTGGTGTGGCACTGTAGGATAAGCAGTTCAAACCCACCATCCACTCCTTGTAAGCCCTATACAGGGTCTCTATGAGTTGGAATTTACTCAGTGGCAATATTCTATATTTGGTTTATAACCTCAATATCATTTAATGAATCCTCAGAACAGTCCTATAGGCTGAGGGTAAACTTTGTTCTCAGAGTATAGTTCAGGAAAGCCATACTGAAAGATGCTTTATCTGTGCCCAATATCACATAGCTATTAGGCTGCATTTTAATCTCAGGTCTGCCTTATTCCAGAGATGTTCCCCTATACCATTTTTCCACACGTATATGTAAAGGAGTTAGGAAGCATGAAATACACATTATGAATATGGAATAACTTGTGGTTATTGTTGTTAGTGCTATAGAGTTGTTTCCTACTCATGGTGACCCTGGGTCTCCGAGGTTGTACGTCTTTGCAGGAGCAGAAAGCCTCATCTTTAAGAGTTATAAAAAAAAGTGATTCCTTAATCTTTATGACTTTCCATATTTAAATTTCCCCAAAGTAATATCCTCTATGTGTTAACCAAATGCCAAACTCATATAAGAGCTAAGTGATAATTAAGAATCAGTCTTATTAAACTTATAATGTGTATAGATAGTATGGCTGAACAAAATTATCTTTAAAAATTAAATTTATAAATATAACCCTGAAACTTATAAATTTAAATGCAAAATAGTTTTTTAAACTAAACCCTTTCAACATTTTGAGGGTATTTGCTTTTAGCTTTAAAACACCCGAAGTGAAAAAATGGTCTCCTTTATAAAGGGCACCCGAACTAAAAGGGTTGGATGGGTAGTAGTAGCCACCAACCTGTGAAGGAAGTCTGAGTCCCTGTTGCTATTGTTATTAAGTGTTGTGTAGTCAGTTCTGACTCATAGCAACCCTTTATAGGGTTTCCAAGGAGCAGCTAGTGGGTTAGAACCACTGACTCATGTGGTTAGTAGCTCAATGTTTATCCAGCAGTACCACACCAGAACTCTAGAACCTATATAATGAGAAATGAGTGACCACTGGGGGTCCTCTGGTGTTTAGGAAAGAGGACTAGTTCTTCTTGGGAGGAACTTCATGGGCACCAAACTGAAGAAGCAGTTCATGAACTATAAGTAAGGCTTTAAAGAATAATTGATTCCAATCTTTCCATTTTGTGAATTTGGATGGAGTCTTCTCAAGGTTAAGTTTTTTATCTTACAGATTCTTACATAAGAGACACAATACAAAATAAATTGTTCATGATATTAAATAATACTTCTGTGCATGTATTTTACAGATTTAAAATAGTGATGGTTGTAAAACTTCACCTAACTAAAAACTCTTATAAATGCCCAATACTATAATTTGTCCTAAATAAATCTTATCTTGTCTTTTTTTGTTTTGTTAATGTTTTATTGTGAATTATGTGATAGTTTACATGGAAGAACATTAGTTTTACATTCCTTCTATTGTATATCGTTTCATTGCCATCGTTACATTCCCCTCCATGCATCATCAACCAACCAAATTACCTTGTCTTTTATTTTTTAAGAGTATTAGTTAGGTGCTTTGTAGAATGTTCTTCAACTTGGATTTCCTTTATGTTTCACATGATTAGATTCCGATTGTTCATTATTGGGAAGGTTATCCCAGAGGCGAGGTTCCCCTTTTAGTGTATCCTGTGAGGGGATGCATAATGTCAGTATGTATTTACTGCTGTTCTTGCCTTGATGTCTTAGTTAAGGTGGTATGTATATAACAGAATTCTTCACTGTAAATTTTACTATTTTTTTAATAATTACTGTTTATTTTGAAAAAGATACCATGAGACTCTAGTAATATCCAGTTTCTGCTTACATTTCGACTCATTCATTTTGGCATTTATCCTTGAATCTTGCCTACTGCTATGGTGTTATAATGGTAATTTTCTGTTTCTCTTTTTCCTTCTACTTTTTTTGAGTCTTCTAAGGAGAATCCACCCCTCTCCTTATTTGTAACTTCAGTATTGCTGAAACAGATTTACTTCATAATACAATGTTTATTTATGCTTCTTTTTGTTTTTGTCATTACAGTATACAGTGAAAGTAACTACATTCTAAAATTACTCAGGCCAATTCCAAATAATTGTGTAGTTATTCATTATTAATATACTTAGAGTCAATTGCTACAATCTGTATGGTATCTTTCTTTTCCATAGCCTGGTTGAATTTTTAAAAAATTGCCTACAGTTGATTTGACAGTGTGTTGTATAGTTCGATGGGTTTTGACAGATGAATAGTTTTATATCTCCCATGACAATTCTATATACATCAGTTCCATCACTTTAACAATTCTGTCATGTAGTTTCTTTGTAATCAAACCCTCTAGTCAGTTTCCAACCTCTGGTCACCACTGATTTGTTTTCTCTATATATAGTTTTGCCTTTTTCAGACTAGGTCAAGGTTTGTTTTTTGTTTTTAAATCCCTGTTTTAGACATGATGAAACAGGATTAGAAAGATAAAGGATTGTACATTCTCAGAACCAAATAAGAATTTGTCCAAGTACTAATTAAAAACCAGAACAAAACATTTATTCCTTAGTATGATTAGACTATATTGGTCTCTTTTATTAGATTGCATTATCAAGAGAAAATTGATTCAGTGACTTAGAAAACAGAGAATATCACACTGTTATTGCATATTTGATCATCTTTTCCACCTATGGAAGTGATGATCTATTTGTCATTGACTTAGTATCTTCCCTTTTTTAGTAAGAGATACTATAATGATCTGGGATTTAAAAGGATAACCTCTGTTTAAATTCAGAGACTCCATCTCTGGATAATGTCTAGACTCATACTAGGAAGGAAAATTAAGAAGCATAGACATTTTTCTGGAGAAAAAAATTTATACCACCAAAACTCTGGAATTTAGAAGAGTTCATTACGAATATTTCCTATTTTGACGTCTGCATAAACTTAGTCTACACAAAGTTTAGATTATAAACATTCATGGTATTAAGAGATTTTATTTACTTCATATGGTGGTTGGTGGTTATATGCCATGGAGTCAGTTCCAACTCATAGCGACCGTGTACAGGGTTTCCGAGGCTGTAAATCTTTACAGGAGCAGAAAGCCTCATCTTTCTCCCATGAAATAGCTGGTAGTTTCAAACTGCTAACCTTGCGGTTTGCAACCTGATTCATAACTACTACGCTACCAGATATACTATTGTATATTTCTCTGGAGAGTTTGGTCATTTATAACTACTGACTATTGCCTTCATAGAACTGTAGTTTTATGAAGAATATTCACAGAAGGAACTTCACTAGTGACATTTTTATGTTTAGAGAAGATCCAAAGTTTCATTTATCTCCCTCTTGTTTTTCTTTAAGGGAGGCTGGACGGCTCTGATGTGGGCATGCTATAAAGGCCGTACCGATGTTGTGGAGTTGCTTCTTTCTCAGGGTGCCAATCCGAGTGTCACTGGTTTGGTAAGTGGTAACAAAAATACATTTATATTAGGTGGTAAGCTGTCTTAGGAAACACTTTACCTTGATTATACTTTAGACTTTGTTGTAGATAGATATACTATATTTAAGATAATAATGTAGAAACACAATATTGAGAAATTTCTTTCTCAAGCTAAGTTTTTCTCTCAAACCTGTTAACATAAAGGCAGTACTTAGAGCTTATAATTTCAGCTATAACTATGTATAACATTTTGCAAGGAAATTTTGAAATCTTTAGTTACCTTGTATATTTTAGGTGGCAGTGTATTCTTAATCAGAACTTTAAAGGAAATAAACATTTGTCTAAGTATTTACCAATTAACATACCATTTTCTGTACATTCTGAAAAATGTCAATACATGCATTATTACTTTGGTTAAGAGTTTATATTGAGAGACTGTTTTATTCAAGTTAGTTGAAGGACTATATAAGAAAGATTTCACGTTCTTCATATTAGTGTATAGTCTAAGCATATTGAATGTGTTAAATCTATAAAAATAAATGTGTTCAAAATATACATTTATTTAAAGTTGAGTCCCTGTGTAGCTACCAGTGATGTGTGATGATCATTATGTGGAAAACTGTCTGTAATTGGATTTTTCAGAAACTGTTACTTTGTGTATCCCCTTTGACATTGACTTTACGTAGCAAATTAATCTGCAAATATCAACCCTAAAGGATTTTTTTTCTCTCTCTCTTTTCTTCTATTCTTGCCTTGCCTCCTTCCCTTGCCCTTTCACTTTTCTTCTCTCCCTTTCTTCCTCCCCACCTACCTACTTACTTACCTGTCTATCCCAGCAGTACAGTGTTTATCCAATCATTTGGGCAGCAGGGAGAGGCCATGCAGATATAGTGCATCTTTTACTGCAAAATGGTGCTAAAGTCAACTGCTCTGATAAGGTAAGTCTAATAATACAGGTTGTAGTCCATATTATTTCCACTCATTGTGTCTAAGTTTATAAGCATTTTCATATGATCTTATGAAACTGCTCTAGTACCTCTTATATTTATGCATATTAATGAATTTTATGTAGATACACATCTTATATACAGTACTATTATACATATTATATATTAATGTTCTAATGTTTTTATATTTTATCATTGCCAAGAAAATAAACCCTGTGTGTAGTGCCTTATACCTGTACTTAACATGTTGTTGTTGTTGTTAAGTGCTGTTGAGTTGATTCCGAGCCATAGCAACCCTGTATAGGGTTTCCAAGAAGCTGCTGGTAAGCTTGAATCACCAACTTTGCAGTTCAAACAACTTTACAGTCTGACACATTAGCCCACAGTGCCACACCAGGACTTAACATAGAAGATACAAAAAGAAGACGTTATCTCTATTAGAGAAGCGGGAGATAAGCACAACATGTATAATATAACAGTGAAGTGATATAGGAGTTTAAAGATACAACTGCACAGTCAGTAAAGATTTGATTGAAACATGGAAGATTAACGTAGACCTTAAAGAAAGGGTAGAAGTTAAGTTTATGGAGAGTAGGAGATGAAAGTAGGCCCAGGGGAAAATGAGAGTAAAAAATACAATAGTCTGAATTCCCCTGGCATGTTGGAGAGATACTGAGTACATTAATGTGGATAGAGCTGAGAGTAGTGGAGTGAAGCTTGAGGAAGGGTGCCATGGCCGTAAAATAGCCCTGGAATACTAGACTAAGGGAGTTTGGATATTTGCCCCGTAGACACTGAGAATCAATGAGGGGTGTGAATACTAGACTGACACAAGTAGTGATTTAGAAAAGTCAGTGTTTAATAGTACATTGATGGATGGAGCGCATCATTTACCTTCTGCCAAAAATGGGGAGGTGTCAGCAAGGAGCCTAAAGACAACTCTAGATATGTTGGCTTTGAGGTGATGGTAGCACTTGTAGTTAGAGGTATCCAAGTTTTTCTTCTTGGATCAGCTATCAACACTCAGGGAAGCAGCAGTCAAGAAATCAAATGACGTATTGCATTAGGCAAATCTGCTGCACAAGACCTTTTTAAAAAGAGTTGAAGAGCAAAGATGTCAGCTTGAGGACTAAGATGAGCCATGGTATTTTCAATAACCTCATATGCATGAGAAAGCTGGACAGTGAATAAGGAAGACCATAGAAGAATTGATGCTTTTGAGTTATGGTGTTGGAGGAGAATATTGAAAGTGCCATGGGCTGCCAAAAGAACTAATAGATCCATTTTAGAAGAAGTGCAGCCAGAGTGCTCCTTGGAGGCCAGGATGGCCAAACGTCATTTCTCATACTTAGGGCATATTGTCAGGAGGGACCAGTCGCTGGAGAAAGATATCATGTTTGGTAAGGTGGAGGGTCAGAGAAAAAGAGGAAGACCCCCAACGAGATGGATTGGCCAAGTGGCAGCATCAATGGACTCATGCGTGGCAACAGTATGAGGTTAGCCCAGGATCGGGCAGTGTTTTGTTCTGTTGTGCATAGAGTCCCTATGAGTCAGCACCGACTCAATGGCACCTAACAACAACAACAACAACAACTGGATGTACATAGAAACTTTGGAGGTAATTAGTGGTTGTCTGCATACAGATGATTCTTGAAGTTATAGAAGAGTGGATTTGATAACAGATAAGTAGCAATAGAATAATATAGCAGAGACTTCTTTATTTTCTTTCTGAAATATTTCCAGAGATAGCAGAATTTGGTTGATGGAATGTCAAATATGTCTAATGAATTGGAAGTTTAGAATATTACAGAACTGTCAGGAAGACTAGAAAGACCTGAAAAAAGAATGTATAGATTTGGTGTTTAGGTGAGTATGGGTGACCTTGAGGATAGTGACTTCATCTTCATAATGTTTAGAATTGAAATCCGTTTTTAATGAGATTAGAGTAAGTAATTTGAAGTAGTCAGTATGTTTTCTAGGAGTGCTAGTAGCCCTATAGGAGAGACACTGGGTTTCTAATCACAGGTCGATAGTTCAAACCCACTGGCTGCTTCCATGGAAGAAAGATGAGGTTATCTGTTCCTAGCAAGATGTACAGCCTCGGAAACCCTATATAGTGTTGTTGTGATTCAAAACAGACTCAAAAACACATAACAACAATTATATATTCTTTTGAAAGTGTGAATGAAAGATTAGTGATTAGTATCATAATAATTATTGATAACTTGTTGGAAAAATTTGTTAGGATGTCAAAGAAAAAAAGCAAAAACCCAACCCACTGCCATCTAGTTGATTCCAACTCAGTGACATGATAGGACAAAGTAGAACAGTTCCTGTGGGTTTCAGCCTAACACCTAACCCAGTAATATTACCAGGGCTCTTTTGTTAGTATTTGTTGTTGTTAAGTGCCATCAAGTCAATTCAGGCCCATAGTGACCCTGTATAGAATTTCCAAGGAGCAGCTGGTGAGCTTGAACCATCGACCTTGCAGTTCAAAGGACTTTACAGTCTGAAGCATTAGTCCACAGTGCCACACCAGGATCCTTTGTTAGTATAAGAGAAACCTATTTGTAGAAAGAGGAACTCAAAAAGAAAAGACTGATGAGCTAGGTGATTACTGCATAAGGTTCTAGAAGAAGCAAAGGAAAATAGGGTTCAGAGAACATAAAAAGGAATTAGAATAGGAAGAACAGAGTCCACTATTTGAGAAAAAGGAGAGAAAGAGTTAATGGCTTACAAGCTCTCTGTAATCATTCTGAGAACGATAACAGAGACGTTTTGAAGTAGAAAGTGCTTGATGGATATTAAGAACTTTTTGTAATGATGAACGTGAGATTATCTGATGAATGTGTAGTGATTCTATCAATTTGTTTTACTTCAGGGCTTCTGTATTGCTATGATGCTGGAAGCTTTGCCATTAGTATTTCAAATACCAGTAGGGTCACCCATGGTGGACAGTTTCAGAAGAGTGTCTGAACTAAAACTAGAAAGGAAGGCCTGGAAATAGACAGAAAATTAGTCACTGTAAACCAGTGGAAAACAGTATATAGTCCTGGAAGATGAGCCTCTCATGTTGGAAGTAATTCAGACTATGACTGAGAACCAGCTGTTTCCTTTAAATTGAGTCAACCTTAGTGAAGTGAAATGAGTAAAGCCTTCAGGATTGTCATTTGCTGATGAGGCGTGACTCTAAATGAGTAGTAACTGCTGTAAACATCCACGAGTAATCAAAACATGGAATGTATGAAATGTGAATCATAAAAAATTGGAAGTTGTTGAAAATGGAAAATAGTATGACTGTTCCTTAAAAAATTAAATGTAAAGCTACCATTCCTGGTTATGTTGTTGTTAAGTCCATTGAGTCAGTTCTGACTCATAGTGACCCTGTGTAGGTTTTCCTAGAAGTAGCTGGTGAGTTTGAAATGCGAACCTTGTAGCTCAAACTGTCTTTGCGTTCAGTTTATTATCCTAAATGGCTTATAGTTGCAGAGTCCCAGGTTTCCAGCTGAAATAAGCGAGCCTTTCCCAGGTGACCATTATATTGGAGCAGGCCATACTCCAAAGGAAACTTCCTTTCAGTTGATTGGTTGCTCCTAGCCAATCATCATAGCGTTAACTATACCTGTCTTAGGTTTCATCACCATAGGAATAAGCACATCTTAACTGGTAAACCACTGGGAATCCTAGCCTAGTCAAGTTGACACAGAACCCTAACTATTACTGTCCACCCTTGTCAACTTGACACCTATAAACATAGGCATAATTTTTAAGTAAAGAAAATTTGTAAAGTCATACTTGCACCTAATATGGTACAACTAAAACATGTACAGTAGAAAACTCACTGGCCATTTACATCTTATATGTCACAAATGAACAAGCAAAAATATTTGATGCACAAATGCAAAAGAAAGCAAAAGATATATATTCATTCAAATCTCCAAAGGGCACATTCTGCAAGTCAAGTCCACCTCTTCCCTATAGGCATAAAGCCTTACTCAGTCCGTGCTTTTAGGGTCCACAGTTGCTCTGTCTTTCCATGTCACAGCCTCTGCTTCACTGTTTTCTAGGCAGGAATCCACACTCCACTCATGCTCTTGACCATCTCAAGGTCAATGGATGCCACTGGAACATGTCCAAACTCAGCTGTGTCTTTATAGCTGCATTTCTCCCAATTCCACTCACAAGTAGATCCTGGTGGTCACCAACAAATATATAGCTGATTGGTTCCCTTTAGTTTTCGGTCCTAGAAGGGGATTTTCTTCGATTGGCTGACTTTCCATACCTTGATGCCTCTGAAACTCAAAAAGCCAAACTGTCTACTTTTTTCCTGCATGAATCTCCTGTTCTCTCAAGAGTTCTGGGTTGGTCAGCATGCCATTTCAAATGCAAATGTCCTAACTTTGAAAGTTCAGGATTTCACCACAGGTCCTATACTCACAAAGGTTTAACAAGAAGCCTGTTTTTCTGAGCAAATTCTAACTCCTCTTTTAGCATATCCAATCCTCTGTAATCTTAATTCCCAATATTCATTTCTATCACACGTGTATGTCTTTTTATAATAGTAGGCAGGATATGCAAACGTTTTTTCTCCTCCTTTACCTATTCAACCTATGTCTTTTTTTTTAATAAATGTTTTATTGTGAATTATGTGATAGTTTACATGGGAGAACATTAGTTTTACATTCATTCTATAGTATATCGTTTCATTGCCACGGTTACAATCCCCTCCATGCATCATCAACCAACCAAAGGGTATACCCTGCAAGTCTGCCCCCCACCCCCAGTCGTCAACACACAGCCCCTCTCCCTCTCTGGATCTCAAGTCCTTGGCTTCTCCATCTCTCCACGTCATCATCTCTGCCTCTATTTCAGGCATCACTGCTTCTCTGGGTAGGGTCCTGCTCTCCGCTTTCTCCATTGATGGTCCTAGGGACTTCCGCTCCTAGACTGAAAAGTTAATGACTCCCCTCCTTTCTATAAAACATCTACCT